TCCTGCAAAAAACAGAACGGATGGTCACCGTAAATATAGGGGATGAATAAATTAGACAAATCAGAGCATTTTATGTTAGAGTTAATTATATTATAGGCAAACAAGACCGAGGAACAAGTTCTTCTCTCATACAAAGCCTGGAGGCCAAGTAATTTACGTCTGCTGATATATGATGGGAGGCCATCACACCAACGAAGCATACGCAAAGCGATTTTAGTAAATATTTTCTGAACTCTCTCAATTTTACATAAGTGTACTTCATAGAATGGATTCCATATAAATGAGCAGTATTCGAGACGACTTCTTACCAAATAAATGTAAAGTGATCACAACGTCATTGGATCTTAAAAGTCTACGGAATTACGTCTAATAAAACCAATCATTGCAAATGATTTTGAAACAATAAAGTCAACGTGACTAGAGAAAGAGAGTTTGGAGTCAAATAATACTCCCAGATCTTTAATCTCATAAGAACGGTTCAACGAGTGAGCATTTATTTTATAGTTGAAAATAGTGGTGCCATCCTTTTTTGAATAGGAAGCAACGCAACATTTGTTCGTATTTAAAAATAAGTCATTGTTATTGCACCATCCGGCAATAGAATCAAGGTCAGATTTTAAGTTAATGCAGTCAAAAATATTACGTTCTGTCAAAAACAGTTTAACATCATCTGCAAACATTAAGCATTTAGCGAATTTAAATTGTTGAAGCAGGTCATTAATAAAGATAAGGAACAATAAAGGACCACAGTGAGTCCCTTGTGGAATTCCTGACCAAGCATCGATAAGCAAAGATGATTTAACTCCTCCAATTGACACAAAAAGTTTCCTATTCGATAGAAAACTGGAGAATAATTTCAACAGTTTTCCATTGAATCCATACAATTTCAATTTACGTAACAGAATTGAATGATCAACTTTGTCAAATGCTTTTGAGAAGTCGGTGTAAATGACGTCGAGTTGCGCATGAGTCTCAAAAGCATTGACAATTCGATTATTGACTAAGGCTAAATTGGTGGAAGTAGATCTCCCGGAAAAAAATCCATGCTGACACTCAACGATAGCTTTGCTAATGTGATCAAAGAGCTTACGTTGAAGAATGTGATCAAATATCTTTGCTACGGTGTTTTGTTTAACTATAGGTCTATAGTTGCAAATATCATTGCGGTCGCCAGACTTAAATATAGGATTTATTGAACATAGTTTCCACGGATTCAGGAAAGTTCCGCAGTTAAGACATTGTCGAAAGAGAAGTGCCAAAGGATCTGCAACGGTATCGGAACAAATTTTGAAAAATAACGGACAAAGACCCTCANCGAAAGAGAAGTGCCAAAGGATCTGCAACGGTATCGGAACAAATTTTGAAAAATAACGGACGAAGACCCTCAATGTCAGATTTTGCGCTGCTTGTCAACTTTGAAATTCACAGACGAACAGTAATTTCGAAGGAAGAGATTGGTGGTAAAGACGAGTTATGAAATGCAGAAATCGATGAAGTGGTAAACTTCACTGTTAAGTACACTGGCGTTTTAAAGTATTATCTGTTACTTACATTCATAATTTCGCTTTGAAGAAAAGTGTACTGAAAAGTACTGATTTTTCAGCATGAAAAAGTGTAACGTACTGATTTCGCGCATAAAAAATCTGGCCCCTAGGAGGGGCTAAATATATTTTTTATCAGTATAAAAAACATTTCGGTTTAGTCAGAAATACTCTAAAACTATTTTAATCATTATTTTACATAAGTAAATGTTAAGCTTCAGATTTTACGATGGTTAACAGGTCTTGTGAATCCCCTAACTGTATCGCTTACGATAAAATTATAGGATCTCAAAAGTATAAACAAAACCAACGATAAAATTCATTTTGCTTTATTTCCGTAACGATAAATATTCAAAGTCTGTGATTTTGTAGGACGTGTTAACTCTTATTTGTAACCTATGTATTTGCAACAAAAAAATTGTTTTCGATATAAGGGGTCGATATTTATATCTAATTGGGCGCCCTCAAATGTGTTCGCATTTTTTGTTAATGGCTTATCCTCTTTGCAGTGTTGCCACAAAAAAATTACCAAGTTCCTCAAAAACAAACGAAAAATCCTCAAAATCCGAACAAATTACTAAAAAATTTCTTATTACAGATATGAATATTGTGTACTGCATACTATTTACAGGTACTTAGTATACAAATTAGTTACATTCTCCAATTCAATTGGTACATTTGTTCTTACGGTTCAAACAAAGTATCACCATTATTTTGTATGCCTTGGTTTGTATATAATACTAGCAGAGCACCCGACGTCGTTCGGGGTAAACAAATAAAATTATATAAAACAGTGATACAAATATTCAGTTCAGCCTAATTAAAGTGGACAAACTATTTTCTTTTTTTACATTAAGGCATCCTTATGAGCTATACTTTTAGCTTTATCTTGCTTTATTTAGATTATATATTGATCATTACTTGTACTACAAATCTTGTTCCATTATTAATATTAGGTGGATGAAGGTAACGATCAAATTTNCACTGTTAAGTACACTGGCGTTTTAAAGTATTATCTGTTACTTACATTCATAATTTCGCTTTGAAGAAAAGTGTACTGAAAAGTACTGATTTTTCAGCATGAAAAAGTGTAACGTACTGATTTCGCGCATAAAAAATCTGGCCCCTAGGAGGGGCTAAATATATTTTTTATCAGTATAAAAAACATTTCGGTTTAGTCAGAAATACTCTAAAACTATTTTAATCATTATTTTACATAAGTAAATGTTAAGCTTCAGATTTTACGATGGTTAACAGGTCTTGTGAATCCCCTAACTGTATCGCTTACGATAAAATTATAGGATCTCAAAAGTATAAACAAAACCAACGATAAAATTCATTTTGCTTTATTTCCGTAACGATAAATATTCAAAGTCTGTGATTTTGTAGGACGTGTTAACTCTTATTTGTAACCTATGTATTTGCAACAAAAAAATTGTTTTCGATATAAGGGGTCGATATTTATATCTAATTGGGCGCCCTCAAATGTGTTCGCATTTTTTGTTAATGGCTTATCCTCTTTGCAGTGTTGCCACAAAAAAATTACCAAGTTCCTCAAAAACAAACGAAAAATCCTCAAAATCCGAACAAATTACTAAAAAATTTCTTATTACAGATATGAATATTGTGTACTGCATACTATTTACAGGTACTTAGTATACAAATTAGTTACATTCTCCAATTCAATTGGTACATTTGTTCTTACGGTTCAAACAAAGTATCACCATTATTTTGTATGCCTTGGTTTGTATATAATACTAGCAGAGCACCCGACGTCGTTCGGGGTAAACAAATAAAATTATATAAAACAGTGATACAAATATTCAGTTCAGCCTAATTAAAGTGGACAAACTATTTTCTTTTTTTACATTAAGGCATCCTTATGAGCTATACTTTTAGCTTTATCTTGCTTTATTTAGATTATATATTGATCATTACTTGTACTACAAATCTTGTTCCATTATTAATATTAGGTGGATGAAGGTAACGATCAAATTTCTAAATTAAAATTAGTCTACTACGGTACATTCCGTTTAGCTGCCTATTCGCTTAGCTGTTTTAGTATAGCTGCACTTTTCTGGTAGAATGCTTAATTCGAAAGGAGTTTTATTCATTATAAATGAACCATTTTCGTTTAACAGCATCGCGGGAATAAAAAACGATTTAATCTTTCCAGTTCAAAATAATCTAAAGACGGTAAGGTTTCAAAAAAAACACACAGTTTTAAATATCCTAGTTATCTAATATATGAATACATATATGTATATCCCCCTTTTACAATCTCATTTATATATAATTTACTCTGAACACCTTCCATAGATGCCTACTATGTCGGAATACCAAGCTTCAATTTCATGTGACTTATGGTTCCAAATTTATGGCTGATTAAAAATTCCACGCCTACGGGCTGTGCCACGCCCCCTTTTATAAACTCATTCATATACACCTTACTATAAGCACATACCATAGATATGTCTGCATACCAAATTTAAACTTCATGTGACTTATGATTTTAAAGTTATAGCTGATAAAAACTTCCACGCCTATGGGATTTGCCGCACCATCTTTTACAAACTCGTTTATATTTATCTTTTTATAAGCACCTACGACAGCTATACCTGCATACCAAATTTCAAGTTCGGGCGACATATGGTTCCGAAGTTATAGCTGATAAAAGTTTCCACGGATATGGGATATGCCACGCCCCTTTCACAAACTCCTATAAACACCTACCATTGATATGTTTGCACACCAAATTTCAAGTGCGTGGGACTTATAGTTCAGAAGTTATAGCTGATAAAGGATTCCACGCCTATAGGATGTGCCACGCCCCCTTTATTTATAACTATATGTATAGAAAATCACAAAATACGAGATTAACATACATACACTAACACAAACACATTTCATTTAACTTACTCACTCTCACCTAACACGATATAAGACACAGCCTTACTAGGTATAACATAATTGTAATTAGTCTTAAGAGTTTAGTTCACTATTAAATGCCACTATAACCGCATCTTTGGTACTTTATTCCGATCCGGGCTCTTAATTTTACACATGGTGCCGAAACCCGGGAGCGGGCAATTAGTTTAAAATAGCGAATTTCAGTAAACTATACCGTTTGTGCATTTTATAGTGAGCTCTAGAAAAAACAACGACGATATTCTTTAAAACAATAAATTTACATAAAACACGAGCAACCGTGGTAACGAATATTGAAGTGCCATTGTAAGGTGAAAAATGGAATCGGTCCATCGGGCTACTTGTCGTGGTCAGCTAACGAAGCTTATTAATCAAGCTACTGAGTACTTGGAAAACACAGACTTTTCCAAATTAAGTGAAAAACAAACCTTGCTTGAAAACGTGGGGACTCTCTTGCACAGGTTAAGGAATGCGCATGAAAATTTAAAAAAGGCGGACGTAGCCGTGAGAAAAATAATAAAACAGGAGGATATGGAGAAGGAATGCGAGTCAGTGCTAGACTATGACGACAAGGCGATGACAATTATTGCAAAGTTGCAATCGCGCAAAAAGAGTTTAGCAGGCCGACTTGAGCATACTATGAATACGTCCACCAATGGCGCTGGTGAGCAATCGTCTCATGGAGTTAAGCTCAAATCTCTTGAGCTGAAGAAATTCGACGGAAGCTTCGAAAAATGGTTGCCCTTCTGGGAGCAATTCAAGCCAACAGTGCATGATAACCCCCTTCTTTCATCAGCAGCAAAGTTTAACTTTTTGAGCGAAGCATTGGTTGACAGGGCTTCATCAACGATTCAAGGATTCACTCCCACAGAGGAATGTTACTCTGAAGCCATAGCACTGCTACAAGATGAGTACGGAAATACCGAAAAGATAATCGAGAAATACGTACAAAAGCTTCTTAATTTAGAGCCAGTACAAACTACCAGCGACGTGCAGGGCTTACGATCATTATACAATCCGGTGATGTCAATTACTCGAACATTGTCCGCGTTGAAGGTCACCCCAGCTCAATACACGATCACCGTAAAATCCGTTATTCTTAAATGCTTACCTAAGCAAATGAGAATACAATTTTTTCGATTGCCTGAAACAAAGACAACAGCGATTTCGACTTTAAATAGCACGATGCGAGACATAGAAGACGACCAACTTAAAGCGATTCTCCAATATATGAAAAGAGAAATTGAAGCCATAGAGAAAGCACAGTTATCAGAAGTTCCGAAAAAAGCGAGATTAAAACTACCAACAAAACCAAGCAAGGAACAGCTACCGGCTTAGTTTCCATAACAGCGAGCGAGAAATGCATATTTTGTAACAAAGAGAATCATAACGCACAGAATTGTAGAAGCACAATTAGCCTTGCCGACAAGAAGAAGGTATTGCAAAAGGAGGGACGATGTTTTCGTTGTACGAAGAAAAACCACACATCAAAATTTTGCAAAGCACATTGGGTTAAATGTAAAAACTGCGCAGGTAGACACCTAACGACGATGTTTGAACGACGTGAGAAGAAGCCTGAGGGGGAGCAGAGGAATCATTACCCAAACGCAGCAGAAGGTATTGAAAAAGAGATGAGCTACAACAGCAAAAAAGCGGCTGCATTAAGCACACTAGCGAGCGAAGGTCATTCGGAGTACTTACTGCAAACAGCGAAAGCCATCATAAGTAGCGAGAGTAATACAAAAAGGGTGTTATCAAGAATAGTGATGGACAACGGCAGTCAACGTACATTTGTGCATGAAAAGGTAGCAAAAATGCTGAAATTAAAACCGTGTGGAGTTGAAGAAACAACAATTACCGGCTTTGGCGACAAAAATAAAAACAAATTACCCACTAAATATGAGTGCGTTCAGATCCTATTGCAAAGCCAATATAATGACAAAACAATTTTAATACAGGCGATCGTAGTATCGAATATTTGCGCGGATTTAGTGTCAGTGGCAAACGAAATAACCGAAATAAAAAACAAAAACTGTAAACAAATAAAATTCGAGTTTGCTGACGCTAATAAAAGCAGTGAACAATTATTACATGGTATTAATTTATTAATCGGACAAGATTATTATTGGAGGTTCAACACTCCAGAAACAAAACAAATTAGCAGCAACTTATTCGCGGTAAAAACATTTTTTGGGTGGACATTACAAGGCGAAATTGATCGCGGTAAAAACGGACAAATAGCGCTGGTATTGAATGAAAATAAACGAACGACAAAAGGTGTACAAAATGAACCAGAAGGAAATCAAGACAGTGAATTAATAATACAAAATAATAAATTTTTAGAACAAAGTGAGCATTCTGAAGCTAATAAAACTATAGAATTTGATATCAAGCAATTTTGGAATCTTGAATGAATCGGTATCGTAAATATTAATAGTTGCAAAGAAACTTCAGTGGCGCTAGCTCGGAAAGCGGACGGTCGATATTCTGTTAAATTACCGTGGAAGCTTAAGAGCGAAGATCTACGGGATAATTACCAATAGCTTGGATTACAGTCCTTGACAACGAAAATGCTAAAAGATCAATCAAAAATTGTAGAATACGACAAAGAGGTTAAGAGCCTCATTGACAACGGAATTGCTGAAATTGTGCCCAATATCGAGTCTCCTAGGCCGATTTATTACATGCCGCATAAACCTGTTTATAAAGAAAATAAAAGCACAACGAAAGTGAGAATCGTTTTCGATGCGTCTTCGAGCGAATCCGGCCATACTTCGCTGAATGATCACCTTAGCGAAGGTTCTAATCTCATTGCCGACTTATTCACAATGCTACTACGTTTTAGGGCAAATCGTATCGCTGTGGTGGGCGATATAGAGAAAGCATTCCTTCAGATTTTAGTGGATGAAGCCGACAGCCCTTCCTATTAGCTAGCACTATACGTAATCATTTGGATGAAAGTTTAAAAAGTGATAGCGTGCTGTGTGAAAAACTCAAAGCGTTGTTTTACGTAGACGATCTTATATTCAGCGAACCAACCAAAGAAGCAGCAATGCATGTTGCTAAACAAGCTCAAACCGTGATGGAAGCTGCGAAATTTAACTTAAGGAAATGGAACTCTAACGACGTGGACGTAAGGCGAGAGCTTTCTACAGAGGAAGTAGGCATAGCAGAGCAAAAAATTCTTGGGTTGGCATGGTGCACAGTAAACGACAAAATTTCCGTAGATGTAAAATCTTGTAATGATTATATCCAAACACTACGAGCTACAAAACGTAACGTTTTAAAAGCAATGGCCAAAATTTACGACCCGTTGGGGCTATTGGGCCCATTCACGGTTAGAATAAAAATTCTACTGCAAGAAGTTTGGCGTCAAAAGAAAGAATGGGATGTCATAATGGATGGCGAAACTCAGAGTGCATTTTCACAGTGGCAAGAAGAGCTTGCATTACTAGAAACTTTCTGTGTTGATCGATGTTTGTCAGCAGGCAGTGAATCGATATTGGAATTGCACATCTTTTCTGATGCGAGCCCGAAGGCGTATGGAGCAGTGGCTTATTGTCGACAAATAATGCCAACCGGACGAATTCTCACTAATATTGTGTGCTCAAAAAATCGAGTAAGCCCAATTTCCGAAAATAATAAGGAAGTAGAATTAACGTTACCTAAATTGGAGTTAACAGCAGCTTTGATGGCAGCAAGATTGAAAGAAACCCTTGTAAAAAGCTTGTGCGTTAAAATATCCGCAGTTTATTTGTGGACGGATTCAAGTATTGCATTAAACTGGATAAATGGCTGTGGGCGAAAACCTAAACCGTATATAAAGGCAAGAGTAGCAGAAATTAACCAAATATCGAACATATATGATTGGCATCATTGTTCCGGCAAGCTTAATCCAGCGGATTTGCTAACCAGAGGTATAAAGGCGAAAAATCTGCTTGAGTCCAATATTTGGAAGTTCGGGCCAAGCTGGCTTCGAGAAAATGAAGAAAACTGGCCAGCGAAGCTTGAAATTCATAGATCATCAGTTTTGAATACTGCCAATCACATCGAGCGAAATAAGCTAGTAATTGCACCAATTACTACCATTGAAAATTATAGCAGTCTAAAAAAGCTTTTAAGAGTAACTGCTTACGCATTTCGTTTTGTAAAACGTTCTAAGAGAAAGTCGACAAACCAACAGTTAAGCAATCGAAAGTGTATACAATATTGTGAAGTCGATGAAATAACGTTTGAAGAACTACAAAAAGCCGAGATGTACTGGATCGAACACACGCAGCGAAATTTTTACAGCAAGGAGTACGAAATATTATCGAACGGACAACAAGTTAATCACTCATCAAAAATATCGTCGTTAAACCCCTATCTGACAGATGGTATACTGCGGTTAAATAGTCGTTTTCCTAAATATGAGCAAAGCGTTTCAAAACGAGATCCAATAATTTTGCCGAAGAGGTCTCATTTAAGTGTGCTGCTGATATTAGAAGCTCATCAATCAACTTTTCATGGTGGTGTAAACGCCGTTCTAGCACAGCTTCGAAATCGTTTTTGGGTCATTCAGGCGAGGCAAGTAATTAAGACAATCCTGCGCAAGTGTGTGATTTGTCAGCGTCTCCATGGCAAAAGTGCTTCTGAGCCATGGACAGTACTACCAACCAAGCGAATAATGACTACGAGGCCTTTCGAGACAACCGGAGTGGATTTCGCTGGGCCGTTGTATGTTAACGGCAACAATGACCAAGGACACAAGGTGTACATTATGCTGTTTACATGTGCAGCTGTACGAGCTGTACATCTTGAGTTAGTGCCAGATATGACGACAAAAAGCTGCCTGGGGGCGATCAGGAGGTTTACGTCGAGAAGAGGTGTACCATCTACGATCATCTCAGATAATGCAAATACTTTTAAGCGTGCAGACTATGAGCTTAGAAAGCTTGAAGATTTGCTTAAAAATCATGAGGTGCGGCGTTTGGCGGCACATAAAGGCGTCAAATGGCAATATATACCAGAGAGAGCAGCTTGGTGGGGCGGCTTCTGGGAGCGCCTCGTAAGGAGCGTCAAATGTGCACTTAAGTCTGCTATTGGCAAAGCCAAACTTTCAGCGAACGAGTTAGCTACATTGTTGACGGAAATCGAGAGCGTAATCAACTCAAGGCCGTTAACCTACATTACAAATGATCACAACGATCTGGAGCCACTGACTCCAGCTCACTTTTTGAACAATTTTAATTCTCTTTTATACTCCACAGAGTTACCAGTAACACAAGCGTCGCTGACGCAGTCTTGGTATTTGCAGCAGTCATTGCTTAAACGTTACTTAAAGCGGTGGCACAAGGATTATCTTAACCAGCTTCGATCCATACAGCATTGCAAGAACGGGCCAAGTCGCAGTATTATTGAAGATGACATAGTATTCGTGTATGATGAGCTCAAATCAAGACTTTTGTGGAAAATTGGTATCGTCAAAGCTACATAAATGGGCAGAGACGGTCGCATAAGAGCATGTGATGTGGAACTGGCAAATAATCAAATATTAAGGCGGTCTGTGCAGCATTTGTATCCGCTCGAGATTGCAACAACATTTCCCGGGGCCCAGGATGTAGAAAATCACAAAATACGAGATTAACATACATACACTAACACAAACACATTTCATTTAACTAACTCACTCTCACCTAACACGATATAAGCCACAGCCTTACTAGGTATAACATAATTGTAATTAGTCTTAAGAGTGTAGTTCACTATTAAACGCCACTATAACCGCACCTTTGGTCCTTTATTCCGATCCGGGCTCTTAATTTTACACAACAAACTCATTTATATACCCTCATATAAGCACCTACTATTGATATGCCTTCATACCAAATTTCAAGTTCATGGGACTTATGGTTCCGAAGTTATAGCTGATAGAATATTCCACGCCCATGGGATGTGCCACGCCCCCTTTAACAAACGTTTATATATACCCTCGAATGAGCACCTACCATTGATATGTCTGCATACCAAATTTCAAGTTCGTGGGACTTATAGTTCCGAAGTTATAGCTGATAGAATATTCCACGCCCATGGGATGTGCCACGCCCACTTTTACAAACTCGTTTATATATACCATCCTATAAGCACCTACCGTTGATATGTCTGCATACCTAATTTCAAGTTCGTAGGACTTATGGTCTCGAAGTGCCACGCCCTCGTATAAGCACCTATCATTGATATGTCTGCATACCAAATTTCAAGTTCGTGTGACTTATGGTTGCGAAGTTATAGCTGATAAAAAATTCCACGCCTATAGGATGTGCCACGCCCCATTTAAAAACTGGTTTATATATACCCTCGCATGAGCACCTACCATTGATATGCCTGCATACCAAATTTCAAGTTCGTGTGACTTATGGTTGCGAAGTTATAGCTGATAAAAAATTCCACGCCTATAGGATGTGCCACGCCCCATTTAAAAACTGGTTTATATATACCCTCGCATGAGCACCTACCATTGATATGCCTGCATACCAAATTTCAAGTTCGTGGGACTTATAGTTCCGAAGTTATAGCTGATAAAAAATTCCACGCCTATGGGATATGCCACGACCCCTTTCACAAACTCGTTTATATATACCCTCCTATTAGCACCTAGCATACCAAATTTCAAGTTCATGTGACTTATAGTTATGAAGTTATGGCTGATTAAAAGTTTCATGTTTATGGGAGGTGCCACGCCCCGTTGTCGAATCCCAAACTTTTTTTACCCACTTATAGGCCCAGGTGTCATGGCAATACTCTGTCAAAATTTTGTTCGATTCTGTCCGTCCGTTTACGCGCAACCTGGCACATACATACATATGTACATACATACTTCCTCAAATATATAGTAGATATATCCTTCTCTTAGCGTAAAATAATTTTTGGGGATGTCTCGGCCACAGGGCCACCTATCGTGTAAGTTTCAACTCCAAATATTTCTTTTCAATGAGCCAAATCAGCAAGTAAATGTTATTTTTATTTATATTTCTTTTCAAGGTACTGATATATGTTCCAAATATGAACCAAATCGGTCCAGCCGTTTAGTGACATTCAATGTACAGACAACTGTATGAAATTGTGAAATCGTGACGTCTCAGCTTTCTTCATTTTTCGGCAACAACAACAAAAAATTTCAAATTTTTTTAAATCAAAAAACCTTCTACACAGAAGTTCCAAAAATGTACTTTTTACAGAATTGAAATTGGTTCAGCCGTTTGGTCAGGCATCGCGGTCATACGAAAAACATTACATTTTTATATATATAGACTAGCAGACCCGGCGAACTTCGTCCCGCCCAAAATTTATTTTTTTATTGAAATATTTGGTCCAACATTTTCGCCAGCAACTCAAGTTCATGTTTGGTTTTGTGGTCGACAGAAGGCATATCCCCATTGCCGTCTTAAATAACCTTACGAAAGCGTTATACCGGGAAGAAGTCCTTGCGGCTCGATAGTGAATCGTCCTTGAATCTGTATAGTATAGTTGGTGGCAATTTACAAACTGGTGAGTATCATTGGTCCCCATTATGTTTAGTCACCGTAAAGCAAGGACCGCAATGGTTATGATGGTTGATTTAACGGGGGTAATTTAGCTTTGATCCCTGGTGCCTCCGAATCGACGATTTTTAGCAATAACTCGGTTCCAGCGCCACTAAAAATTATCATTAAAATCGTTTCGGTCGTTTAGGAGGAGTTAAGCCACCAGAATAAGTCTTTTACATACTGACACTCTTCGGCATTTTTTCCCATACAAAAAACTCTCACGCATTCATAATACGGAGAAAATGCGCAACATCATCAGCGAAAAAAATTCTCAAAAATCAACGGTATCTTATAGCCATTAAAAACTTGCACTTTGTGATACTGAAATTGAGTGAACTACAAAACTGCATACTCAAAATTTGGTACAAAAAAATTTGCTACGAAAAAGAAAAAAAACGCTGTATTCTGGGTGTATATATTTACAGATAGGTAAAAGTTTTAATATTTTTGGATTTTCCAGTAGCCCCAAAATCTCTATACCAATTTCCAGGACATTACCACAAATACTTTTAGAGATATACGTTATGGAAAATTCGATATGCATGGGTGATGCCACGCTCCCTTAATATATCCAAAGTCTGCAGTAGGTGTCCAAAATTTCAAAAAATCGGTACAGCCGTTCGCGAGATCACCTCTTATAAACAGAAGAAATAGCTGATTTCGGGAAGTTTGAGTTCCTACCGCAATTAAGCAAGAGGTAATAGAACCTTCCACGTAGGCTTAAATTAAAGCTAGAACTACAGACTACCATCCCTGAAAGTACTATTCCTGCACCTTGCACTAATGGTCACCTATACTCATTTACTTTTTATCGTCAAAAAATAGTGTAAAATCAGTGTTAGCTGTTAAATAAATGACTATAGGTAACCTTAGGGTCAAGGTAATGGTATTTTCAGGGATTGAAGTCAGAAGTCCAAGCCTTAATTTAAGCCTAAGTGGAAGGTTCTATCACCTTTTGTTTCATTGCTAGAGCTTCTCAAATATTGCAAAAAACGCGATTTTTTTTACATTTTCACCACATTTTTTTCAAAATCTGGAGCTGATGGAAACATGACACTTACGTATTCTTAATCAGCAAAAAAAACCTATTAAAACCAGCTTCAACATTTGCCGCATCAAAATCGGTGTTGCCCTGTGTTACCTACACTAATTATGTAGGGCTCGCTTGAAATATGTACATGAAGATGTATGGAGGTGCGCACACTACACCAACTTAATCGCTCCGACCAATTAGTTGTGGTGCAATGGAAAGACTAGCAAGCCCAACTAAATCGACGGCCGAAAAAGTCCGAGGTGTGCGATGGATCTAAAACATTTTAAACAAGAAATATTGCAGTCACATTTTCGTTTTTAGGATTTTTATTCATGTGATTAGCAGAGGCAAGAATGTATGTATTAAACATGATTCAATAATAATTATTGAATCATGTGTATTAAATACGTATATCTATATATATATAAAAATGGTGTGAAAAATGTATAGTAATTCATCAATTGAGAACGGTTGGACCGATTTGGCTTAAATTTTTTTAGTTGTTCGTAATTGCCAGGAGAAGGTCTTTACAAAAGAAAATTTTGGGAAACCCCTCCGGGAAAGTCGGAAAATTGGAAAAGTCGAAAATTAATTTTTTTGTATGGAAAATTGTGTGCAATTCCTTCGGAATGGCATTCGAATGGAAAAATAGAGAATTCTAAGTGGAAAACTCGGAAAAATCCGGAAGAACGCAAAAAATTTGAATTTTTTTCGACGAAAGCTTGGAAAATTTCGGATAATTGTGAAATTCATTGGGAGCTTGACTCAATTGGGAACAATTTTCTCCTATGTTTCATAACTGATTCAAATGGGTGCTGCTTTTTTGGAAACGTGTTTAGAAGGAGTGCACAAATTTTTAATTTTTCCGATAGTTGGCGCAGGGGTCGAGCTATGCTTAAAAAAATGCAGTTGGTTTGTTGGTAGCCTTTTGCCTAGATTAGCATATAGGATTCATTTTTTCCGTTAAGTAGGTCAGAGAGAGAACTATTCGAAACAGTCTTATTAATGGTCCGATTTGCTTGCAATTTAGCACGTAGGTAGCTTATTGGCTGGGTTAGCATATATGATATTTTTCCTGATAGCTGGACCAGAACCGATAAATTCCAAAAAATCTTCAATCGAACCGAGTCATTGTTTTACAGTTCGAAAGGTGTTTGAAGGCGCCGCAAACATGCGGGTATTGGCTATTTAACAATACTTATTACACAGGCCAACAAAAAA